CTTCGGCCGACGTGCGACCGTGACACTCGCGAATCGTATCTCGCCGCATCCTTCCGCCCATAGCTACGAGACATAGCGAGTCTATGTCTCGTAGCTATGGGCGGAGGGATGCGGCGAGATACGATTCGCGAGTGTCACGGTCGCACGTCGGCCGAAGGCATCTTTCTTTCTGCTGCCGCTTTCTGTACGCTGATTTGTTGGGACAAAAAAATTAATTTCTCAAAAACTATTGCGAATATCGCAAAACGGCACAGGACTTTCTTGCTCACCTCAATCCGTTCTACGTTCTCACCAAGGGTCATCATGGGACTTTGGGACACCCTGTATATATATATGCAGTAAATAAAATAATTGTATATCATATTGATAATAAATCTGATCAAGATCTCACAATAAAACTGTAGCCATCTGTGTTTGTAATACATTCGTATTTTGTTGATAGAGTTTACTGTCATCGCTACAGATTGCTAAATAGAATTGCTACACATTCTATTAGTTTCTGCATTTATCTGCTAGCATAGCATATCAGCAAGCTGTGTCAACAATTTTGACAGCAGCTTAGCAACATCATTAAAAAGAATAAATTCTGTGTGAAAATTGTTACCTTTGGACTATCAAAACTTTGTAGCAGACTTTGCCCAGAATCTATTTATGTACGTTTAGTTATCTGGTTATATGTGTGTGTGTAAAATTAAGTATATGTTCAAATAACCAAATTTGTACTTAGTAAAATCCCATAGCAGATGCATACCCTACTCTGTCCCCATGAAGCTTGTGTTATGTAAACATCTGTTATAATAACCTTTGTTGACGGCGAAAAGGACCATTCCTGTCGCTAACCTGCCATAAGGTTATTTTAACAGATGTTCATAAAACATAAGCTTAATGCGGACATAAGGTTTGTTCTTTCGACCTGACCTAGGGCTGCACTGGAACTGTACTAGTTGAAGAAAGTTCAAGATAGTGCAGACCAGTGCAAAGATACATATGGGTCTGAAAAGAACGGGTAAGAGCAAGTTAGAGCAGTGTAAGATGGCGGACAACATGGCTGGATTAAATAACATAGATCAATTTATGGTCATGTTTTCGCATTTATAGCATTTTATGTTTTGTTGAACAATCCTATTTCTTTTAAAAACTGTTTTGTGTTGGATACCCATACAACAAATCCCTCCGAAAAAACGTCCAAGAGCCTTCCCAGGATGTCTTTCGGATATTTTGTGCTGTTTGGATAACATTCTAAATACTTCTTTTATGTCATTCTACATTATATATTTATTATATATTTATCTACATTATATATTTATTATATATTTAAGTATTTACTTACTGTTTATAGATTCCGTCGTCGGATTATTTCTTCTACGTAATGTCAACTAGATATACCAATTTTACAGGTTATAGATACAAATATAAATTTTTTCGGTTAGCTGCCCTGCACTGCTTGCTCTACCTCCAGACCTAGGGCAGTCAGTTCACTGAACTCGCTGCACTAGTTCAGCCTGCACTGTTCGAAAAAACACATTTTCTTGCACTGTTCTGATCGAAAGAACGCATTAGTGCAAACTTCGTGAACTAGTGCAGCCAGTTCAGGTCGAAAGAACCTATAGTAGATATGGATCTACAGTGGGATGTTGTTATCAGCAAACTGATTATCTGGGTATTTACTATATATCGAACCTGTATTAACTCCAATTAATTAAAAAACGTTATTAATGCTTATACAAAGTGTTCTATCAGATTTTCTGTTAGATTTTCCATGAATAGCGAAACATTAAGCAATATCAGTTATAATTTCTAGCTCGCAAAATTAATTTTGTAGATGATCTCAATGTAGCATATAGAAAAGCTAAAATAAGCAGAAAATACTAGTGATTTAAAAACTGATTTAGAAAATAGTGTAAAGAGAAAACGATATCCTACGCGACGTCTTTATGATTCCGATGATTTAACCGAGGAAAATAATACAATTTCAAACTTTGATCGTCCACCTTCAATAAAAAAAAATTGTAAGTTATATCTTGTATAATAATGTATAAGGAATCTTTTAAATCATACTTATTCTGTATCTGACTTTTATAATGGATTTCAGGCTCTTCTAAAAATAATTTCTCATATAACAATTCATTATATATTCTGAATGAAGAAGATAATATATATAAAATTTTTATACATTATCAAAGAAGTATTTAGTTACATATAATTGTGATTACCGATTTCAGGCTCTTTTAAAAATAATAATAATTTGTCATTTAAAAATACATCACATATTCTGAATAAAGAAGGTAATATATACAGGGTGTTCGGAAAGTACCGGGACGCCCGAATATCAGGAAAAATATAAGTTTTACAAAAAAATGTTTCAGACAAAAGTTGTGGCGTTTAAAAAGATGTATTTACTGATCACATCAGTTTGACCTTGGGTTGCGTAGCGAAGGTCAGGTCAAGGTCACATTAATTTTTTTAAATGGAACACCCCATTTTTCATTGCATATTCTTATAGCACATCTCGAGAGCTTTCCAAAACGCTAT